TATCTGAATTTATTTTCCACATCGAATTTGCTATTGGATGTACTAGCGAGTAATATCTTCATGCAATGAAATGTTTTTATACATTTGTACTTAAGGTTTTTAAATTCGTTTTTTCGTTAACGTTAAACTGCAAGTGTACCCGAAAGCAATTGAAAGATAATAATATAATAATACAAATATATTGGAAACAGTTCCTTTTAATTAGAAATAATTCGTTATACGTAGAGGCGCCTAATCTCTCAACATTTTTTTGACTGAATAATGCACAGCAGTGTGAAGTATTTGCTTTGAAACTGCGAGAATATAAAAATCAGGCGAATTTTTAGAAACTTTCGAAAAATGTGCAAAACAAAATGTTTTTCGTGCTGATTTAGGAAACCCTAAAATATAACAAGTAAAAACCAGGAAGATATTTTAAATATCTAATTGATATAGTCCAATAGAAAGTAACTGATATTTTCTAGCCCTCGTGTATAATTATTAAATACCCACTTGCGTTTTACCGATTCGCCTTCCAAATGGACACAGGTGGGGTGTGTTTGTATTGTAAATTTCCATTAGGGTTTCCTGGGTGATATTTCCCTTGTAACTTCGCCTATTGTCATTGTCTGGTGAATATTCGAATAGATCGCATACTATCTGAATAAACCCCTCTATGAATTCGAATGCAAATTTTAGCGATAAACGAAACATATTATTATGCCCCTGGTAAGTATTTAATTAAGCAGAATAAAATAGTGCGGATACTAATAAGTTATTTAACAAAACAGCCCTGTTCCAAAAAGGCTTCTGACTTCATTAAATTGGCACTCAAGAAATGATTCGTCCAGTATTAATGCCATCTTACACCCAGAGAATAATTTATCGCCTCGATTGAAATATAATGAAAAAACCAGAGGAAATGTGAAAGAAAAACACATTTTGAGTAGGAATACTTGTTATTGTACTTACGATAGTAAAAGAGTGCCGAGACCTACATTATTTAAGCGACCAAATTCGTGTGTTAGTTACAATAATTATCTGGAAAAGGGTAAAGCTTTGGAAAATGAGGACAACCTAATACGGAAATCACTAACAAAATGTACCTGCGAAAGTGACGATGATGATGATGGTGATGATGAAGAAGAAGATGTTGGGTCAGATCTGAGTCATGGAAGGCCAAATAATTTAAAGTTAGTGCATGCTAAGAGCTTACCAGTTGAAGTCGGACTTAAACCAACCCAACAAAGAAAGTTATATGAAAAATATCGGAGAGAACAAAACTTAAAACTACAAGAACAATTACAAAGTTATACGGAAGACGAGCAATACCAAGAAGGCAATCAACTTGGAGCTGGCGATAGCGAAACTGTAGATGTTCTCTTAGGTGAGATTTTCCGTTCTTGTAACTAATTCTAAGACAACATAACTCAATTTTATTTGTATATTGCAAGATCCTCAAAATATTCGGACGACGGCTACATCATTATCGAACTATGGACCCACTGGAAGTTCATTTCTTGCACATAGTAAACAAGATATTCCTGTTTATGACGAGTTGTCTGTTCCAGAATTCAGGAAAGAGCATTACTTTGATACCCATCATATAGGAAAACTTAATGAAGTCACCGGTAAATCATTTGTTTCAATTTAAGTATTCAATCAATCATCCAAGCAGATTTTATATTCAGGAGTTATTTGTTTGAGTTTTAGGTCAGGGTCAGGTCGACCTCATTTCATTTTTTGCTGCATTTGCTTAGTGCGGTTTATCTTATTTTTATTCTATTTCTTATTCTTATTTTTTTGTCATTCTATATGTATATCTTTTTCTTCAAAGCTTAAATTTTAAGTGTAATACATAAACTATTGCGGACATCAAGTTGTAAATTTAATTGGTTGCAAGACAAGTTGGTTAGTTTGAATTTTTGAAAATTTGAGTTTGATTGAATGCATAAAGATACTTTGCTGTAAGGCTAAAATAAAATTTAATTTCCTATTTATATAAGCCGCATTTATAAAAGCCGCATTCTTCATTATTTACAAGTGATTTTAAAACATTTTTTAGCAAACTTCATTATTCATGGGTGATTTTAAAACATATTTTAGCAAACTTTGCAATAAATAGGTACCAAAAACATTCAAATTTGCATTTCTCTTTGGTATACATATGTATATTTCATAACTTTGTCTGAATTATGTTGGAATAATTCCTCGAATTCGCTTAGAAGAATTTGTTTGTTTTTTTTTATACACCTAAGGATTATAGAATATTCTTAGAAACATTGTCTAAATATTTTCTCTGTTGTGATCTTGTTTGCAACAAAAAGTCTTTTTTGATGTAATAAAAAAAGAGACTTGATTGCATTAAAATCTGGATTCAGGTGTCTAATAGGAGGAAAAATTGGTGAAAATTTTCTATTGCAGTAATTGGTTAAAAGTACATTGTCATATTTAATATAATAGTGTTCTAAAAATCGCAGAAAACGAGTCGATTTAAAAAATGAAAAATCATTTTTAAAAGAGCATTAGGCTTGAAAACATTTGAAAACATGTGTTTATGCGCTATCATTTTGATCATTAGCTTCGTCACATCGTGTATAGGCAGATAAATCGTATACTTCTAAAGCTTTTATCCCTTTAGGGGAAATTGCCCAAGATGAGCACACTTGCATCCATCAATTCAAGCTCAATAAAAGGCAACTTCCCGAACCAGTTACAAAAGACACTTTTGGTAGAAGTTTATGCAAGTTATGTGGAAAGGCTATGGAAGGATCCACGCTCAATTTAGCTTCAACGTTGTTTTCCGAGTAAGTTTAAACCCAGTAAATATCGATAAAAAACCTCGTATTTTAGAGAATTTGAAAGCGTTCGAAAAGTCTAGTAAACAAACTAGGCATACTGCGGGTAAAATAGGGTACTTAATTTTTGCACATCGGGAACAAAGAGTAGCTCACACTCTATAGTTAAAGATTAAACCGCAACTAAAGTCTGAAAACATGATTAAAATTTTCATCAAAGAAAATTTACATTATTATTAAAATTAATGTTATTTTACTAATTGATTGTATATACATGAAACCAGTCATTAAAATCGAATAGTTTCGTTCAGAAAAAATAGAAATATCTTTTTATTAAAAATTTGAATGTGTAAAACCGAGCCAGATATACTCAACTTAAGATTTAAAAAATGTGTTTGTTTGAAGAACGCAATTATTTAATTCACATCACAAGTATTATAAATGAAAGATAACAAAAAATATAAACATTAAAAAAAACACAAATACTATTTTATTCCAAATTTTCAGCCAACAAAAAACTTTTTAGCGTTTGAAAAAATCCCTGTTAAACAGCTTTCTAAGTTTGTGCTATAGATCCACACATTTACCATTTTTGAACGTATATCAGAAATTACTATTATATTTCTAGCGACCGTTTGACGAAAACCAAAATCAAACATTACGCCGATTCTGATAACAGTGGAATTTCTCCAACGACCATTAATTTGGGCAGAGGTAAATCAAAGATAGAGCTTCTACTGGCTGACAACGATTTAACAAAATTTGGAAGCTATATTTGCAAAAGCAAAGCTCCCATATACTGCAATAGTTTGGCATTGAGACACCAGAGAAAGAGAGCACCCTAGTGACATTATTTGAAAAACTTTTATTAATTTTTTTCATTTTATTATATCTATAAGTGATATTTACATTTACACCGAAAGCTCAACATTGTTATGTTTTCTACTGTACCTATCGTACTACTGTAATATTAAACTTCTTCTCTTGAATTTTTTATTTAAGTTATAATAGTAGCTACTTCTTCTGAAAATACATGTGTGTCCTTCCAAAACTTTAGGTTAATAAATAGTAAACCAAATTTGTGTTCTTGTTCTCATTTAATTGATTACCCAAATAAATCTTTTTAGTGTAGAAATGTTCCAAGCCAAACTGCTCGAATCAGATCATCAATCCGCTGCAAAAACAAATTCTTGTAAAAACTAACAAATTCTAAAATTAAGATTGCAACAACGGGTAAACTTTATGATGGGCTTCAAATTTATGATCTGGCTGTTTATTTTTTTAAGTCAAAGCCGCAAATAATGTTTAAATTTGTGGGCTTCACTGTGCTTACATTAGAATTGTTTTTTGCTCAAGTATGCGATCATTTTTTGTTTTCTGTTTCACGCCGTTTCGCATTGTTGTTTATAATTGGAAACGCGAAACGTTGAGTCACTTTCGCTATTTCTACATTGCTATTATAATGCATCGGTTTCCGCCTTTTATAAGCAGCTACGTCAAAATACCGATATATTTGCTCCCAGATATTAACTAATCTGAAGGAGAAATTCCTTTCAAGTAGGTTTTGTCCAATAAATCCATATCTAACGCTTTATTTGTAGTGGCCGGATTTGAATTAAAGGTAAGCCTGAAAGATGAATTTGTATGATTGCCGTCCTCAGCCACAATTCGGCTAAGAGTTTTCTGCGATTAATTTCCCAAATTCCACAAATCCATCAAAGTGTTTTTAGTTAAAATCTCGATTATACACATAAAACTTCTGAAATTGAATGGTCTATACTTAGATCGTCCTTATGTAAGTAATTAAAACTTTAGAATCGTTTAGACTGGAAATTATTTTTTTAACGGCTGAAGTTAACGACCGTTATCACGTTATTTGTTTTAATTTAAAGCAGCTGTTTTATTTATTGCAAACTTCTTTTGCATAATAAAAACACGTTATTTTAACTAAATTAATCGCTATTAAAATTAACTATCGCTAAGTATACAAATAATTCAGTATCGCTCAATCTTATATAAGATCGTAGGTAGTAAGATCGTAGATGAGTCCCTAACAACAATAATTTATGTACTTTTTAATTTAACTATAGTAATTGGAAGGAATCACATGAACTAAGATAATTTTTATTTGAATATTTTGTTTCAAACTTTTGAGCATTTCCCAAAATCTTTTGCTTATCGAATGCTTTTTAGGGTAAAAACGCATTCTTTATCAAAATGTAACATGTAATTTATCACCCAGTGGAATCCGACTTATAACTGCTATTCTATTTATGTTTCCTATATAGAAGGCATTCGTTCTTTATATAAAAAAGGCACTTGTTACAAATTCGTCATTAAGTTCGTGAAGAAACTCCTCTATCCGGATAGTCTAAGGCAAAAGAACCCAATAAAAGTAATTAAAGTAAATTAATATGTACGAACTACTGTACAGGAAAATGTCAGTATTCGCCAATCCTCGACTCTAATTAAGCAGGAAAATAATCAATGTTCAACATAAACATTTAGTTTTATTTAATTTTTATGAAATTAATCTGGCTCTAATCCGGCCTGAAACAGGCGATGGTTCGAGGTCAACATTGTTCACATTACTAATGGACAAACATTAGAAAACCGAAGAAATCCGGTAAGAAATAACGTCTGAGCATTGGAGAAGTACCAATAATATATTATGCAGACGACACGAGCTTAATGACAGAAAGCGAGAATAATGTGCAAAGAATATTATTTGCGTTCTTCAAAGCTTCCGACTAGCATAATTGAAGATATCAGAAAATAAACCGAAATACATTGTGATATTGAGAGAGCCCATAAAATATAAACTTTCCGACACCGAAGACAAGATGTTTACAAAATTGTTTCTTAACACCTTTATTTGCCCCAACGTTTCTTTTTTGTGATCTATTGTTGCTCCGCTAGGTTCAGATTAGGTGATCTTGGTGGCCATACATTTGCGAAATACGTTCTCATATCGCGATCTTAAAAATCTCAGTTAACGATTTTTTAACTGGCCTGAAAATGAGTCGCGGTACTTCAGCATGTAGAAAAATTATGTTTTTAGTTTTCTCGCGGTCGTTTTGCAGTTGTGTAATTGAAAACCCGTAACAGTTACAGTATTGTTTCGCAGTAATAGTTTTAGACCGGATTTCCGATTTTCTTTTTGCTTTTTTACTTAGAATGCGTAAAATCCGCGAGATCCTAAATTAAACTCTAATTAATTTTCTTTTGAGAAAACATTTCTAATAAAAAATCGTTATAGGAGCAATATATGTATTCTCAATTAACAGTGGTAATTCAGATGAAAATTTTAAAAATATTTTCTATAAACTTTTGCAAACCGTGCTGTATGGCCTTGGTAATAATTTTAGTATTTCAGTCACGCGAAAATTGGTTAAGTTTCGATTTTCCCGAAGAAATTTTGCACCTTGGTTTCGTTGAGCAGCACTTTTTCCGCAAATTAGCAAATTTGAAAGCATAAAGCAGAGTCTTGATTTCAATGGAATTTTATACAGTGAGAGGATTTCTTCTGAGCGACAGTTGTCTGGAAGAGAAAGAGTTTGCTTCTTTTTCAAGCACAATTTTGTAAGAATGATGCTTGACGAATAGATCGCAATTGATCGCATCCTTTGATCATTTTCATGATAATGTCGCCCTATACCAGGCCCTGTCTGATAGAAATGTATAATCAATCTGAAATATGTATGTTCCTTACTTTATAATACTGCCATATTATCAGCATTCACTCTCTAAAGAGATCGGCAAAGTCCAATTTCGTAATACATGATCACTTTTATTTAGTCTAATCAACCGCTCTATAGTGGGTACAATCCCAATATTAAAGTATACTAGTAAAAATCAATATTAAACTTGTACATTTTTTCACGTAAGCAAATTCCTTTAGCCTTTGGAATTGTATTTTGATAGTATATTTAAGGCAAACTTGTGCAATGGAAGTGAAAATACACTCGTTTTGTAAAAACGTGACGCATTAACAGTATAAATCATGTTTGAATCTTTTGCGATCATAAGCAGTGCTAATATATTATATATTTGTGTGTCTTTCTCTATGCACTTAGCAAAAACCTGTCAAAACTGTTTAGTAAAAGTACCGGAACTGAATGGTAACGTAAAAGTTATATATCACTAGTATTTATTTTCCTTTTAGTGCGGCAGGAATTAGGCCGTCATCATCAAAGCCGTTTGGTGTAAATTTTTCAGCGGGTTGTTTTAAAAATACTATTTAAATTCATTCGGAAATTCGATCGTTTAATCTTGGATGAGCGTGTCGAACTTTCGTGTCATTAGTGGTTTATAATTGGCTATGACATTATTTGTTCGAGTTTTTATTTTAATTTTTTGGCATCACAACTAAGTCGGTATAGTAAATGAAGACACTCAAGAGCAGAAAGAGATCAGTATATGCTATAAAAGAGACACTTCGGGAATGCTTCCTTACTTTATTTATATGAGCACTTTGAGGGCCAAACAGTTCGGCATAAGTTACCGAATTCCAAATAACAGACATTTTTTATAAAATATATTGAAATATTTTTTAATCAATAAGAAAAAAAGAACAGACATTTTATACTATTGCAAGTATTACAGATGACAAATTGACCAACATACTTTTAACTACATTTTTCCTAACATGTGATATTGCGGACCCGTTTTTCGAACAAAAAAAACGATTTTCTTTTTGAATATGATAGTTAGAAACATACATTTTTGTTTAGTGTTAAATTATGACTGTTCCTGCCTATTACAGACTAAATCTTGCCATATTTACAAAAACCTGCTGACTTCTTATGGTTATTATCAGCTTCTAAAGTGGCATATTCCAAAGTTTTGAATTTTTGGAAATAAATGTTACGTTTTTCTTCCGAGATCAATCTCTACCAGACCAGACGAAAAATAATTTTAACACTGAGAATAAAGTATACTCTTTGGAATCATGAAATCTTTCCTTTAAGTATTCACAATAATATTAAATACATATCATGTGAAGCTCTTCACATCCTACTGCGAGAAACTTAACTAAATAGAGCTCGTTTCTGGTTAGCTTATAAAAAATTCATAAACTTATTATAGAATGGGATGTCAATTAGAATTTTTACATTAATCTTCCACATGGTGCACTATATTTCAGACATCCAGTGAATTCAATAGCCTATGGTGATGATAAGTTAAGCAATTAGATAGAATAGACTTAGGGCAGATACTCTCTTCGAAAATTTTGGCGAAAACAATTTTCACCTTCCTTGTCAAATATGTATTTTTGATAATGCTATATGTATATTCTGATATGAAAAAATTGATAGTTTCTTCAGCCTTTTTATGATTCGCTCCAAATTAATCACCACCAATATGCTTTGTTTCATCTTTGACACCCTTTGAAGCTATAAAAGATCTAATTAGTTACCTAAAAATAGCCGACAAAAATGGTTTCTTCTCCCACCGATCGTCCAGTCTTAGAATTGTAAGCCTAGTGCGTCTTTAGCATTCTTCCAGATTAGATTTTCATCGGTTTATCCGGGACGTTAATTTACGTGTGCGGTATTTCCAATCCAGGCCCAATTCGCGTTACAATCGATCATGAATGTTTAGTGAAATAAGCGCGGCTGTTTCCGGTGCTTTGTGGATATTCGGTAATTTTTAAGTTTATTGCTTTTTGCAACGAAAAAAGTTCGTTAGCGATTTTGAGTCCTTCAACTAACTATCTTTCTAAACGTTCAAAAAATGGTTTGGCATGGCAAATGTTTTTATTACTTTTAACGCGCAAATTTTGATCTCTTTCACAGTCTTGACTAACTAATAAAAACGTTTCTTAACTATTAAAAAAGTCCTACATAATTCATTTCAGTTGAGTAGTAATTAAATTTATATCTATTACTTTAATAATGAAAGAAAACAGCCATAAAGTGATGTTTTTGCTTCAAACACCCAATTATAAAGTCCAATGCAAATATACAAATGCGTCTTATGAGAAATCTTTCATACCTTGGAACCCAATGACCTAAAATTCATGGCTGATAAAGCAATGAGAAAATCCTGGATATTGTCTTATAGCTTCGAATTTATCCATAATGGAGCGCAATTGATAAATTTCCATTTTAAAATATACTTTTGCTGACATCGTTAGAAAGCTTGAATAACTCTGCATGAATTACTTCTTCGCCTCAGTGATATATCCATCTTTATAAGATGGGGGAAGTTATTGAAAATGTCATCATCATTTAAATCACTGTATAAAGTAGACATAATGGGTTTAAGTAAACGTGAGGTTCGTTGCAAGGAAAATTGAAGCACTTTTAATTATCCCGCTCATTAGAACACCGTAGCTCTTAAGAAAATGTCCAGTCAGAGCCAAATTACAAGTTAAAATAATTTTGTCTTAAAACATAAACCATGAATATGCAACGGGACAATCGGAAAATGCATTAATCTTCCAAGAAAAAGTTTACAGATTAATGCAGTTTTTCAAAGTGCTTACCAAAATTCAGATTTTATTTAACTGTGTGGGTTCCTGGCTTAGTCTTCAATAGCAAGGTTTCTTCTAATTAGGGCATAATTATAATACAATTCATAAAAATAAAAGTAAACAGCCGTAACTCAAAATCGTTTGACAAGGAAAATCTTAAAAATGAAGAATAATGCGTTGAATATTCAGAAAACGGAGAAAAGTTTGAAAATATATGGTGTTTGTCAACTGAATTATTAAAATTTGGTATTTTCAATATATTTATTTTCCTTCTCGTTTCATTGCTTTTTAAAATTATTTTCGGTATTTTCTAACTACTAAATCTTTCTCATACAATACAATTTATGAACCAGAAAATTAAAAAAACCGCAGTAATTTATTCAATAAAAATATTCACAATTACTCTGAAACTCAATAACTTTTGAACGAATATGTATGCAATTTATATTTATCGGTGAAATGGGTTTTCAGTTCTTCTTCTTTAAATCTATCTATATATTTACCCTTAAGCCTTAGCCTTTAATAGCAAATTTATATATTTTGGTTCATGTTAAGTTACTCTCTGACTCAAAAACAACGTATAAATATGTGTTTTATTTCCCACTTCGTTTCTTATTAATTAATGATGATTTCCTCGAGCAATTTTACGGCTTTCTTGCTGTGGGTGTAACATGAACGATTTAACTAAACAGTGTAAATCATTCTAGACATTAATGGGTTAATTTAATTGATGTTCATGTGTGGAATTCATTTGCTAATTAAACTAATTCCCTTGTTGAATCAAGTAATCAGCAGCACAAAAATGAATAGACTGCTTCCAGATTAGTTCATTAATTACTTATTTAGCAAATTGAATAGAATTGAAAAACGAATTACTTTCCAGAAATATTTGCGGGATATATTCGAATAAGGACTGTTTAGTGCATTATATGCATGAAAGGTGGATGGAGGCGAACTGAATCTGGAGGCTACGAATTTTTTTTGGAGTACAGTAAGTATGAATGTAGCCCTAAGATTATAAGGAACTCCTTTTTTATTGATGTTTTATAACTAATCGACTAGCAATGTGTATGTAGAAACATGCATCGCTTTGCTTCATGCAAGAAGCTTTTTGTTTGTTATTTGCAAATATAAATTCTCAATGAGACCATAAAAAATAAACATATTCTCTGAAATCTGAGTGAATGAGGCATTTTAAACTATTCAATGACCTCTCAAACAAGGCAATATCGTTTTAAATTGAAAATGGACGAAGGAAACCTAAAATATTTCACACATTGCAATCGGAAGTGCTTATCACTTTATAAACCAGCCATGCATTAATTTATTTTTGGTCGTTAGTGGATACTTAGAACGGTATCTGAAAAGTTTGCAAAATAAGTGATTGTTCCTGAACTAAAACTGTTAAAAAGCGTTCAATAGAAGCCGCACGCAAAATTTTGATAGTTATTTAAGTAAGTATTTAAGTACTTAACAAGGCTTTATTTTTGTTCTAAAAAAAAAATGTATCGAAATAACAACTCCATCTGGTATATTTGATATCACATGCTGTTTACTTTTTAAATGTCTGTTCATTTTTAGTCTGTTTTATATTTCATGTTCATAAATGACATGTTTACCAAACACATAACTTCTACTAAAATTAACAGAGGAAAACATTTTCATAACTGACTGATATAACGCTTCCGTGAAAATTGTTATATGATGCTTATGCCACACATGTTTCCAGCAGTGAATGAGTTAGTAATAACTATCTTGTACATATTTTTTCAAACAAATTTATGAAGGAGGATAAATTCCGCTGAAAGTATTGGAATTTGCTTAATCTATGATTTCAATAATATTCCTACCGCTATGTGGTTATATTAATAGAACACACGACAAGACACAAGTGCTCTGATGTCTCAATATTTGTCTATTTTTTTCGAAAATCTTAAGATAAGGAAACATTTTATAATGGGATAAATGGCCGACCCCTATCAAATATTAGGCATTGATTGGAGCTTATCTGATTTTCTAACAATATTTATTCATTCGGGTTTATTTAATGAAAAGTTTGAATTGCGTATATACATATATGTAGTCTCAGGTTAACTACCTGTTTGAGAGAAAGTGATTGATTTATAATAATCTTTTTTTTCAGAAAAATTCAACGCTATGGCTTGCGTAGAATTTGCAGCCACTCTTGGAAGTGTATTGCTGATGATTGTTACATTTCCACTTTCTCTATTTTGGAGCTTTAAGGTTCGTTCATTAAATTATATGTGAATATTATTTAAATAAACATAACTAGTTATGTTTATTTAAATAATATTCACATATAATTTAATTACTTGTATATTGAAAAAAAAACTGTTTTACTTTAGGTTGTACAAGAATATGAACGAGCTGTGATATTTAGATTAGGAAGACTAAGAACAGGAGGTGCTAGGGGTCCAGGAATATTTTTTGTGCTGCCATGTATAGATAGCTATTGTAAAGTGGATTTGAGAACTGTTTCCTTTGATGTTCCTCCGCAAGAGGTAAATACATACTCTTATATCGGTACATACTCTTGGATATATGAATTATTTTGAATCTCCTATTTTGAATTACCGGCCAATATGAATATGGCTCTATATCTCTGGCAGTGTTTTCCTTGCCAAAAGCCCTTGCTAAATAACTAAATTGCTTATTAAGTAAAATATACAACTAGAAGAATAATATGCTATCGGAAAACCAAGAGTTGGATGAATTTCAATTGAATTGTTTCGTCTGATCCTACGATTATGAATGTATATTCGATCATTTTTACTTTTAATTATCATTTATATCATTTATATTTTATATTTTATTTATCAAATGCTATTAAGGCAATTTCTAGATAGTTTTGGGGAAATCTGAATGTCTACTGTTCTCTTTATATATGAAAACTGTACCAACCTGCACCGTTGTACTTATTATCGCCTACTTATTAAAGTAAATAACAGAAGTTCAATATTTAGACATTCTGAAAATATAGTAAAATCAGTTTGTTCAAAAGTTTATGTTTATGTCTACCCTTTTTCCACAAAATTAAAGACCAGTCTAAAGATTTGCGTGTAAAGTACTTAGTTATCTCCTTATATAGGCACCCTTAATTTGAATCATAACTGTAAAAAATATATAAAAATACAAACATGTTTTCAAGACATTTTAATTTTCCTGATATCGAATAGCAATTTTTATGTTTGATCTACGTTTCTTTAGATAAATGCATATGCTGTTTGTTGTTTGTTGACGTTGTGTATTAATATTGCATTCAGACGGATTGTTTTTAGTTAAAAGACTTTCGTGCAATATTCATTTTGTATAAAATTGCATTCACCGTACAAGCTTTTTGTATATTTTCAACATTTTCCGTAATAATTTTTTTCTCAAATTGTAGTTTACTTTTTCTGTAATCGCTTACACTCTCTCTTACAGATGCTAGACACTCTCTCTACATATATTATCCAACAAATCACAATCAAATTTTATATAAACAATAAAAAATATTTAATATTACTTTAAATCAAATTAAAGAAATAATGTTACTGAGTTGAATACCGATAATATGAAATTAAAGTAAACTCAAGCAACATTTCAATTACAGTGTGAAATTCAGCAAACTTGAAATCAAGCGAAACATAAAGTAGTGGTCATTAAAATTACATTTCGAAAAAAAATACGATCAAAAAATTATTTAGTTCGAATAAGACAACAAAGTGAGTCGTTTATTGATTTTTTAATTTATTTTAGAATTATAGTGGGTTTCCAGTCTCTGAGTAATTTACCTCAGAATCAAGAGAAAAGTATGCAATTTTAATATTTTTTATATATTTTTATTTTATTACATATTAGGTATGCTCTGCACAAAAATCTATGAAGTAAAGTTCATCAACTCCTAATATATTTATCAAAACTTCTCATTCATTCATCAGAAGAATCACTCTGTATATTCTCGCTTGACTTTAGACGCCTTTAAAGGTACCATCAGATATCTAAAGTTTTGAAATGCAAAGTATAGCAAACGATCACGGTTTATGGGTTTTTGTGAGACATAAAATAAAGGGGCCGTAAACTGTTTGATGAGTTCTTGCATATAAATCGGGAATACAATTTTATGATCAGTTTTAAAGCATTAAAATTGCCAAATTTAATATGCATTGGAAAGGAAGAGAGCGGAAGATGTGCACTTTATTAGATTTTATTCATATTCAAAACGTTCTTTATTTAGCCCAATTTTATTAATGGAAATACTTGAAATTTTGTTGAAAATTTCGAAGATATGAAATTAATGTCCTGGGTGATATTTAAAGTCTAATATTTAAAGCATTAATAGAATAAACATAAAATAGCCATTGTATTGGATGATTTGCATAGCTAATGAGCTATGATTTCTAAAATATATAATAATCAGTATTTAGACTTGACTAAATTGTATTATACCTTCAGTAACAAGTGAGTATGATCAATTGTGTTGTTTAATAATAGTTTAAAGCAGCTAAGCCAAAAATGAAATTGGATAATTATATATCTTTATTTATTTATCTTCTCTTACTCTGTGCGTGTCTCTCCATAGTGTGCGCAAGTAGAATCAATACATAACTAAAAATTTATATATACTTTAACACAGTTATATATACTTTAAAAAGTGTTCAAGAATTCATAAGGCAACAAGAAAATTAGAAATTGAACTAAGTAGTTTTAAATTAATAAATAACAAATTATAAATTTTTATATTTTTTTAGGCTTTAACTAAAGACTCAGTAACTGTCACCGTCGATGCAGTGGTATACTATAGAATTAGAGATCCTTTAAATGCAGTGGTGAAAGTTACAAATTACAGGTAACTAGTGGTAATTATATACAGGGTGGCAAAATTCGAACCTAGCATGTGTAGTGTTTCCCTGCATTTTTTATGCAAGTTTATTAGCATCTTTATCGTCACATAGAAAAGTAGGAAATTAGTTTACTAGATCTTGTTTGTGTTTTTAATAATCTGTACTTTACAATTACATTTTCCAGGCCTTATCCGTCTAACGATATTTATACCAATAAAAATGTATAAAATTTTTCTTCAAGAATGGAAGTATTTGTTTCAGAAAAATGGAAAGTGCAGTTGAGACTTTTTATTTCATCAGGATTTAATTTCAATAAAAAATTATTTAGAAAGAATTGTTTTAATTTGTATGTTGCAAGAGTTAAATTCGAAAAAAAAATAGACAACATATTTATGAAATTTTCATTACATTCAGTTGTCGGCAGACTTAATTTTAATAAAAAATAGATAATTTATTTGGGACATTTTTTTAATTAGGTTCTTGGACGATTTAAATTCAATAAAAAGTAAACAATTTATTTAGAAAGTTTCGTTTCAATTATATTGCCGGAAAATTTAATTTCGATAAAAAATTAAAAATCTATTTACGAATTTTTGGGTTTATCAGGTGTTGTGCAGCAAGTTTCAATAAAAAAATGAATATTTCTTTAGCACATTTTGTTTTTATCAGACTGTCGACACACTTACTCTTAAAAAATAGAAAAATAAAAAAAACGTTTTAATTAGATTGTCGGACGGACAAAAAACACGTTGAAATAATTTTGGATGAAAAAAGAGACAAAACCTTATGTAAGGGTAAGCAGTTCCACTCTTAATATTGTTTAATTCAAGGTATAGCTCACAGCTCTGATTGCAAAAAAGTAAATTTTCCTCATGTACATACCTTTCGTACCTAAACAGACGAATTAATCTTATAATAATAAACGGAATAATCCGTGGATTATAAGATTCATATTTAATTCGATTAAAATTTTATTTACAAAAGTAAACACTATCAAAAGTCAATCACAATCACAATCATATCATTAATTTCCGTGCGTTTGTATTCTAAGTATGCGTAAATATTTTCTTCATAATGTGCTCTCACTCCTTTTCGCCAATCAGCAAAACATTCTTACAATGAGAACTGAAGAGCGAGAACTGAGAATTTTCTTCAGGATATCTTAAAATGCTCTTATTAAGATTGTTCTTATTTTAGTAACTCAACGAGACTCTTAGCGATGACCACATTGCGTAATATATTGGGAACCAGAAACTTAGCTGAAGTCCTATCGGATAGAGAAGCCATATCTCATGCAATGCAGACTTCTTTGGATGTTGCAACTGACCCTTGGGGGGTGAAAGTCGAAAGGGTAGAAATGTAAGCAGGGTTTTAAAATTCACCAAATTTCACCCTCAGCTTTAACATGTGTGTTGTAATCAGAAAAGACGTAAGTTTGCCGCAACAACTGCAAAGAGCGATGGCAGCTGAAGCTGAGGCATCTCGCGAAGCTAGGGCGAAAGTCATTGCTGCTGAGGGTGAAATGAAGGCTTCGAGAGCACTGAAAGAAGCTGCTGACGTGCTTCATCAAAGCCCAGCTGCCATACAGGTGAGCAGCAGCTGTTAAAAAAGAAAAATCGCTAATTTTTGCAATACTTAATAATTTTTCAGTTGAGATATCTACAGACTTTAAACAACATATCGGCTGAAAAGAATTCAACAATAGTTTTTCCTCTTCCTATCGACTTGGTAAGCTATTTCGTAAACTTGAAAGGTGGATCGGAAGCTTCTCACGTAATATGATCATCTGTAGTCAACCACACAACCTTTCATCGACTTTCAGGTTTATCCTGTTTCGCGACTTATTTCTATGTTAGTGAAGTTAAGTTATTATATTTTTACTGTTATTTTCGACATTTTAAAACAAAAAATTCCTGTAATGGGTAGGTGTATAAAAAATATAGTTGTTTCCTTTTGCCGCTGTTTCCCACTGAAGTGTCTCATTGACTATCGGTTTATTTACAATTGGCAGGTCTGTTTACGTTTCTGCAAACAGTTTCCCAAAGCCTTCGTTCTTAGATGCGCTAAAACATCATCATTTAAAGCCCCATTGTTTTCTGATCCCGAATTGAGATAATTCCGCTGCAACGCTTACAGAAACTCGTTTAAAAACAAAAACATCTTTGTTCCGCCTTAGCCCTGCTCGTTATAGGGGTATTTTTCTTTAAAAACTTCATTACGTGGCCCTCGAAAGCTAAAAAGATAATAAGTTACGATCCCCCAGGTCTCATATATTTACTGAGATGACGGCAAACCTCTTGCGGGTTCATATGACTTATAGTTTCTTACTTTGCCTTTTCAGCTAGGAATTGCATGTTATTTTTTCCGAGACGGTTTAATTTTTTTTCAAATCTCAATGTATCATTATAATGGGTGTATGTTTAGTGTATGATGAGAGCTTTCCGCCTGGTGGAAGGCAATTCGAAAGCTTTCACTAGGCATTTGAGTTAATTTTGATAGTTTTCACAGTAATTTTGTGTGAAAAAATATTAGTTTAAGATAAAGTATGTTAAAAATTTCTGGTAAGGTGATATGAGATCATGACGAAACTGCTATTATGTGAGTAAAATGAAATGATTTAATTACATTAAATTGTAAATTATAAACACGAATGAAGCTTTCAATGGAATTATCGTAAATTTTTAGTTCGAAACAGAGGCTAAATTTTTTAAACGAACGGAACGAAACAGAGGCTAAACTTTTAAATTAAAGACAACTTTGTAAAAATTATTCGGCACAACTTGAATAGAGAATATTTATCAATTCCCTTACAACTTTCTTATGACCGTTTACTGTCTTGGACTGTACGTTATTACTGTTCGCTCGTTTCGGCTGTGGCTTCCTTCAGTTTCTTCATACACATACAAAAATACTACGTCTTATTTTTAATAAACTATTAAAATGAAAATAAGATTAAATAGATTAAAAACGTCCATAGGACATTTTTACCAATTTGGAGCGAGAAATAACATAAGTTCCTTTAAAAATGTAAACTGTTTTATATAGTTTTCATTGTAAGACGGTTTGTGTAATGTTGTTGCAGTAAACCAATCAAAGAGATCAAATTTACCTAACGAGACCAAATTAACTTATTGAGAACAAGATCAGGTTGAGCTAACTTGACTAAGGTTCCATTGGATCATCCTGTATGTAACCCAATACACTTTAAACCACTTCATTCAGAAAAATCATACTTTTTACTACTTCTTGTACTGATTACCAATTCCATTCCGTTATTCTTTTTTTTGTTGCAACTTTGTTTGTTGTTAGATTTTAATAACCTGCAAATTTTATCGCTCCTAAATCCCTTTTTATTTCCGTTTTTGTTGAATGTTTTAGGACAGTACAAGCATAAAAACACTTATTACCTTTTTTTGAATTGCTCGATGCAATAAACCTGATGGACAGTGTGCGAAAGATAATAATTTAATATTTTATTTGTTTTCGAGGAATAAAAAAGTCGTGAGCTGCAGTCAAAGTGTTGGCTGGGGATTTTCACATGTATTTATTGCGAGAAATAACGGAACATATATTTCTTGCGTAAATAGGTCGCCACTTTTTTTTAGGATAACTCATGTCTCTGCAGATTTACAGCTGCGTTTAAATTACCAATAAGAAGCTGAAGAAGAAATGGAATGTATGTTGAAAAATAATATAAAATTGTTCATTGGTATCACGTTCAAAAGAGATAAATGAGTTTGATGAAGTTTAGTTAGTGTGTGGCTTCTGAACGCACATCTATCGAATACTGTCTGCACATTCACTGTTATTGATTGGCTGGGATATTTGTTTGAAATTTGTAGAAATGCGAACAATTTCAGTATCATTTTAGATGGATATGGTCAGAAAATTGTATAAGTTTTGATGGTTTTGCTTTTGTCTATTGTATCCAATGATTAATTTATAAATCACAAGTGAATTAGTAAAAAAATAGTTAACAAACGAAAATGAGAGAATGTAACGGCAAAACATAATGTCAAAAAGAGTTTTAAATTTGATGAACGCTTGTAATAATATAAGTTTCATTTAATTCCAAGAGCAAGGAAATAATTTGTTCAACATTTTTTTAAATTGAAACTGTGAAATCTGACTACAGGATAACTGAAATAATACTTTAAATAATTGCATTCGAAGTCTGGACCAAAATACAAAATGGTGCAAAGAAATACTGCGATAACAAAATAAAATGGTACAACTGTATTTTGAATACTTAAAAGCTTGGACTTAAAGCACATTTTCTAGAATCTACATTTAGGAAGTTGCTGAAAATAATACCAGCATTGCCAGCGATAATGCGAGGAAAGAAACTGGAAGAATTTGTACAAGGAAAATGTAAGATTATAATTCGGATTTGTTAGCAAAGAGTAGAGTTAAAATCTCAAATAACAGTATATGGACATATTTACGCCCATACAGCGAATATGTTGCCAAATCCTTCAATTATTCCGCTAGTTATAAGAAAGCGTATTTATGTTGTAAATAGCGTTTTAAAGCTTAAAGGCTTTGGACTGAAATTTCATTACTATGTATGAACTTACTATGTTATGGACAAATTACTTACAGTCCAATTGAAGATGATTTGAAACCAATATGAATCGCTAATTTATGCCACATATTTGGCCATCGTTTGCTCAGTTTGCACAGTGTAAACAGATTATTGGTTTCAATGCTTATACATAACGATCTAATGCTTAATACATAAAACATCTTTGCTTTCCTCCGTCTGATCCTATAAATGCACCTGGCGCACTTGCTAGAGATAAGCTAGCAATCCAGAAATATCAGTACTATTACATGAATTCATTAATTGTTTGGCTATTTTTAAAAAATTAACAAACTGGTATATTAACCGCTGAATAAGTAAGCTATAACAATTGATTAAATTTGAAGGTTTTCTACTCATTTTAATAATTTAATTGCAGAGTTTTGTGCTTGGTGTAAAATTTTGAATATTCAACAAGCTCTTTACATGCTTCGTTTCGTTAAATGTTAAATCTTATCAACCTCAATGTGAATATTTTATATTACCACACAATCATTTGAATTTTTATTTGTTTCTCATTTATCTTGCATTGATGTCTATACCGAGTAGCAGCTGAGGAATACCTCCAAAATCCGTTTTGTTTAAAGTCTAGTAAAACTGAATTAAGTAAAATTAAACGGAAACAAAGTCGATTAAATCGGGGCCGATTTTTGGGCCCTTTGGGACCGATTCTGCCTCCATTTCTTCATACATCATCTAGGTACTTAATCATCACCATTTTTTGCTTGATGGATATTTTCCGAATTTTGTATTTCTTGATGTAAGCAACTTGACCAATTTTTGCGTCACCAGTTACCGAACAGAGGGGAATTACTTAAAAAGAAATTATAATTTTTCTCAGATTTATCCGGCAATATTAGAAGCAACTGTAAGAACAATTACCACTTCAAGCCCGTAAACAATTCTTAAACATCCCCTGTCAACACTTAAAGCGGGCCGCACGCATTTTTATTCTCCCAGTCGTCATAAAATATTTGAAGAGCCTAATCCCATTTATCTCTTCGAAAGCTAGACAGAATAAAAGCTGGAAGGAAAACCGAAAAACTGAGAAAGAGTTTGTATTAATAAAATATCCGAGTTTTATCTGGAGGATAAACTTATTAAATTAGTCGCCTTCAAATATTAGTATCTTTCATGAAAATCTATTTACTTGAAGCAAAAATATAAATGGAAGACCGTCTTAAGACGCGGATTAAATGTGATGGATAGCTAAATATTTACCGAATTTTCGTCCTTTGAGGGACCATTCAATAATAATCATAAAACGTGTTTGTTTTTTTCTAGAGAGGCTATTTCATATATACATTTTTATAGAGTGTGGCCATTAGAAATTAAAGAAATAGTTTTACACAAAATTTGATTTTCCGGGTCAGTACTACAGATTAGATGTTCTAAGCTCGTTTTAGTCCTTTGTATACCTACTGCATTTCCCCAGAATCTAGCCTGTTTTTACAGAGTCACTTTTGTACATATTCGGAATTTCGTAACGACATTTTGAGGATACATTTAAGGGCGAATGGGGTCATTTCAATTCGGGTTGGAAGGAATAGTTTAAACGTTTGGGTGACATTGGTTCACTGATTTTCTACGTAAATTCCAATTTATTTGCCAATAGTCAGTTGCTTTTTGGCATAGTTTTGTGCAGTTTTGTATGGGAAGTTTAAGTAGTAAGTATTCAGAGTAGAGGTTTAATATTACGTAATTTATTAAAATGTAGTAAGAGAAAATAAATTAGTGATTTTATATTGAATAGTGTAAAGATTCTTCAACACAATAAAATTGTTACAAATGTTTTTTTTTGCAATTATTAAATCCTGATTTAAACAGAACGTCACTACATTGTTCTCGGTTTATGCCTGAAATTATGCTCTAAGTGATTTTTTTAAAACTAGACAGTTAGTTGTTAAAATTAAGAAACATCTGCGTCTTATGTTCACATTTTTTCCCATGAAATATATCTGTTGTTCTTTGGAAGACTGTGAGCAACAACAACAATGAAAATTGCTGAACTTTTTCACCAGTCAGGACCCCTACTAATAGCTATACCTTGATTGGCTATTAACAAAATAATAAAGCAGAGTTTCAACTTATAAAAGTGGATCAATTAAAACTTGAACCAAGGCAATAAATTAGTTATATAGTAAATAGCTTGGAGCAACACTTTGGGCTGAAGGAGAAAAGCTGCTTCACCACATACAATACTAGAAAAAAATGATAACGACTGCTAAATTATTAAATAATTGAGAGGATGATAATTCCATATTAAGATGAACGTAGGGTCTACAGCAGTATAAATCAAGGGAAGTAAACATTCCGTAAATTAGAAAAATCAATTATCCTCGACGCATAACAGAAATTTAGGAAAATTTCTGACACTATGGAAACTAATGATACCCGGTTGATAAAATGTTAGAAACTGTTGATATTGTCACATTTTTATGCAATTCCTATTTCTATCTGCGTTTAATTCCTGATACCATCAAACTATCTTGGATGTGGTCTTCTCATGCTGCGCTTTGCTTGTCTTGGCGGCCAATGTGTTAGTTTAGATGTCTATTTACTTAAAATCTGTCCAATGGTAAATGCAAATTCCAAATTTAGCACAACCACAAAACAGGAAGTTCCTATTTAAATAAGCTAAAAGTCAAGCTAGATGACTTCAAGCTAGTTCTGTGATATCGCAGCGTGAGTTATAAAAATGGGTTTCGTCTGTTTAGAAAAGTTTAAATAAATGTTGGTCTGAGTCACATATCAATCGAAGGAACGATTTTAAAAAGCTTGATTGGAGTGACATACATTTTTATTTTATATAAATTATATTCATTACATTAAAAAATATTGAAAACATTATATTGATTATGTAATAAAGTAAGAATTTTATTTGCCGTGCTGTGCAAAGAAACAACGAAAAAATGCAACCCACAGTCACTAGACAAAATTAGGTTTGCAAATTTTATCTAAATGCATTTCCTTGCTTAGTTTAAAAATACTTTCAAAGAAAATGTAATTAGCAAATTTGGCAAAAAAATAAAAATCTTTCTTTATTCAATTTGTCTTCGCTTGAAATTATGATGGATTTTTCGGCATATTTTTCGAGTTTACTTACAGTATTTTAAAACAAAGCAAGTCAATTCAATGACCCACATTTGAATAATTTGCATGGACGCTCATGACCGTTTATTGACACTGATTGGCGTTTGATGAAGTCAATATAGAAGGGCTAAACCCACGTGAACTTTTACCTAACAAAATCAAGTTTTTAAAAGTACGGCTATTGGATTTTGAACGGTTACTACTGCATTTTCTATCCTTTTCTTATGTTAAGTGTAACGAGGACGCACAGGTTTGGCTGTAAACGAAAACAGTTAGGGAACGAGAACTGCTGACTGCATCACGCCACTTTTCACATAGAAATTTCGCGTATTTATCGAGTGATATGTAGTGAATGAATAACGAAAATAGTCATTGTTTAAACAAAAAATTGTGTCATATCAGCTCATCAAAAGTTGTGAGGACTGTAATATTAAAGTTCCAGCCAGTGGCGGTACTGGTGTGGTAGTTATATTTGTGTGGTTGAATTAATAACTACATCAATTTTATTACATTTGTTTAATGCCTACTAGTCATGTCTTTGTAACTGAAATGTATATTTTTAGGTCTATAGTAGTCATATAGAGTGAAATTTGACTAAATTTTCGAAGAAAATTGGCTAAATTATACTATGCTGAGATTTATACATTCGAATCATTAGTGACTCAAACGCGACTTTTACTTCACCAACATTTTTGAACTCAATTGTAAAGTATTTCCTGTTCTGCTATTTATGAACAACATTTTCTAAAAATGGAAATACGAAGTCTTGATTGCCGAAATGTGCCATTGTCATGCCTCCAGTAAAGGTGTCACCTTTCTTCCAAGTCGGTTATTTCAAATTTATTTTCACTCTTTCCGTTATATAGATCTTAAACACATATTAATCATAAACTGTAAGCAATGGAAGTACTGAAAAGTTTATTTGTTCTGAATAAAGTAATGGTGATGATTAAATCGACAAGAAGTTGAATACTAAGAAACTAATTAAATACAATTCATAAAATAGATTGGGCTCATTTAAAGCCAATTTAATATGCATGGATAGGATGATTAGCAAATCATAAAGTTTGGTTTTAGATCTCGTTTTACAGCATTAAACAGGCCAATGATGGCAAATAGAGTTTATGGGTTTTTTAAGTCACACATTTTTTAATGGTCTAATTTGCTCCGTTTTTGCTTATTTTCTTTTCCGTTTTTCAATCTTTGATATTTGCTTTAAAAATATGTATGGATTCAATCATTAACATTGATAGCTACATATTAAAAGAATTAATGATTTATATTTATTTAAATGAGAAAAAAATTGCCATTAAGTAGGTAACAGGCGGATTTTGACAAAGCAGTTCTGAGCAAAACTTTGATTACTTTTTATTTTAAAGCTGCTTTAATATTTTGATAATTAAGCTTCAGTTTGAGAGCAGGGAAGGGGTTGACACTGCTCTTGATCTATAAGAATAAAAACATTTTTGCATTTTAGTACGGCATTAACTAAAAGAACTAAAGGTGTAAATTAATACAAATAAGCCAATTTAAAATGAGAGGCGTGAAAAATATTATCTGTTTCACAATCCCTTCATCGATATTGCAAAATACAGAGTGATTGAGGTTTAATTTTGATCTTTCCAAATCGATATAGGTTACAATTATATTTCTACGTTATTTAAACCAATTTTTTATCATCATATTGAATATCATAAGCATCGCTTGCTGAAATGTCAAATATTTTATTGACTTACTGCAATATTTTAATAATGAGCTTTTTAACTTTAACGTGGCGTGAGGTAAACCTAATTAAAAAAATATATAATATTTTTCCGTACAAAAATTAAATTTAATATACATTTACCAAATTAATCTGATTAAATAATAACTTAAATTTGTTAAACTCAATTTCGACATATTGCCTCTTATCCATTTGAAAACCCACCGTGTCAAATTCTGAATAAAAGATGTTTTTGAAGTAGGAACTTGAAGGGGAATGATTTTATCTCATTAATTATGAAATATTACTTTCACATTTAAAAACAGATTTATTGCTGTTTTCGTTTTACTTTAAATTATTATTATTTGATAACATTGAAAAGTGATTGGTTGCTTTGAAACATGTTTGGTAGGAATTATGCAATACCGGTTATCGTTGTTTTTCTTATCACGTGTATGTTATGCACATTATGTAGACCACGCAGTTGCTGATAAAATTTTGAGGTAAAATTGATCAAAGAATTATGATGGAGCAACACATTGCCTTTATGTGAATTGCAAGACTTTTAGGTACCTACTTTGTTCGTCAGCAATCGATAAGAATTAATCATTCTTATATAAAACATTGGTAACTAATTTTTATTCCATCTGGAACTTTTACGAAATTGAAAACGATCAAAAATAGCCACGTATGTACTTTGTGGAAAGTTTTAATGAACACAGAAACAGGGATAATTTGGAGAGTCCGATTACCCTACTTGATAGTTGAATGTAATTATAGGAAGTTACCAAAAAATGATCGGAAAATAGATATAACTTCTCTATTATCTTCTTAGTTTTAAATTATGACAGAAAATTGGCAAATTTCATCAAATGTAGACAGTATTATGAAGGTCACTGCGTTTATCCAGTGCATTAAGGCATTGGGTTTTCTCATTAATAATGGTAACAATTTTTTTAAAAAGTTTGTCATAAAACTTCAGTAAATATTTCTTTTATATTCAAGCAAAAGTTCAAATACAGTTTTAACTTCAATCATACAGTGAATGCTTGTAGTCGCAGTACAGTGAATTATTCAATAATGTTTAATCATTAAACAGCCTGGACTGAAAATAACTAACTATTCATTGACCGAGTCCATAACCTAGACCTCTAAAATTGTGAAAACACTTTTGGCCCACTTTACAGTATGTTGCTATTAGGCGATACGTGCTGAAGTCCAATTCTACAGGGCGATGCGCAGTTGGTTGATGTTATTATTTATTTGGAGGCAGACTTACCGCGTGTGCCTCCAAAGCGAAATGATACATTTTTGATTCATAGATATAGAAAATTGAAATAATCTGAATAATGGCAACAATAAAGGAAGGCAACAGTGATCTGGAAAAGAGTGATTGTCAGGACGCGTTTATCGAAAAATGGAAAAACAGCGAACTGGAACTGTCGTGGAGACATTCTTTGAAACAAGTGAGTACCTCATTTGGTTATTTAACTGTAGWTAACACTGACTCATAATTATTTTATTGTATGCTCGATAYCGCGGTTTYTGCTATTGAAGTTACGGTTTCGATAATGGATTGRGGATTAGTTTTTATCGCAKGAGCTWCTAAATTTACTMGATTGRTAATAATTGAACAAACATGATATCTGTAACGYATCTTTAGCAAGCGYGAAATAAATTTGTACTTATTGACATTAAYTTATGTATTCGAGTTGTTGCTGATGAACGAATACGTTASGCTGTGATTGAAAATAWAGCATTTGTCAATTATTTATATGAATACTATGATGMTATGTACATTGAAAATATCAGGCCYRTGTATCTGCMATCTGCTGAATTTTTATAATTTACTTTTTAACTCATATTTTTTCATTTGCCAATCATAWCTGTTGGTTCCTTATAAGTGGTTTGTCGTTAAGAACTTGGAGAATAATGTTTGATTTGAGTAACTGTTAAATTATCTGTTTCTTTACTGGAATAATGTTATTATTCTTGTAATTTGCATGGCTCAATATAACCGTTTTTRATWKWTWTKAAATTTTATGTCAAAAATTACAGTTGCTGGAACTTGAATAATGATTAATTTWTTCTATRAGAAAATMTGGGTCAATTACTTTSAGTTTCATTACTTTATGAAWWKKATTTTAATAGAAGTTTGACAAGATYTTGGTAACTATTGGGCCAAAATGTTAAAAAAATAAGGTTCAAAATCAGAAAACGGAAAATTAATTTTTTCAAATGCTAAGCTCCAAGTTTGTAAATTGCATTGCATTTAGTATTGAAAACAAAAGTGAGTTTGTGTAAGATTGTCTATTCCAAAAGTGTTTAGTTTTAAAAATATTGCCAATTTAATGTTTTTATATGGCTACTTTGCTGCGATTTTTGATTGTAGTCACTCTCTCAGTTAACTTACTGGCAAGCAAGAGTGATTGACATTTAAAATGCCCAGCAAAATAGCCATATGAAAACATTAAATTGACAATATTTCGTAAACTAAATACTTTTGGAATAGATAACCATGCACAAACACCCTTATGTTTACAACTAAACAAGGTAAAAAAATTACGAAAATGTGGCGGTTTCTACTTGAAAAAATTGATTTTCAATGCGTGTTTTTCCTTTCATTTTGATAATTGTTTTTTTGATACTTTCATTTAATATTTATCAAAAAATGTTATCAATATTCTCATAGCCACGTAAGTCCTTGCCAACAAGGAATGGAACTTTAATTAAATAACACATAATTATTTACCTAAAAAAATGATATTTGTTCAAGCACATGCAACAATTATCTTCGACATAAAAACTCAAATACATCAAAAACGGTTGGACTTGCATATATGATATTTTGCAGGGAATATATTTAGAATTTAGAGTAGAATTCAAAAATAAGATACATGGTGTTCCGTCTAAAATAAACAAGTTGACACTTAGTTGAAAATATTTCATTCATCTAATTATAGTTTGCCGCTACCTTTAGATCGCTGTGGTTCCCAGTGGACACCCTATATAAAATCAGCACAAACCGCAATACAAATTCCGCAAAAATGGCAGCATGATTTTAGCGAAAACCACATTATAATCTCCGTTAAATCCGTTTTGTAAAATTTGCAAAACCATCGGTTGCACATGCGAGCAGAAAAACAACCCCCTCGACTAAACACTATAACCCTGGTTGCCATTTACTACTACTAAATAAATTGCAGTCCGCATTCAGACCGATGAAATTTCCTGAAAGCTCTATACTTTGTCAAAGAAATCAACGCCCTTAAGTGGCTCAAACTTTAAAGAGCTATGAGCTCCTAATTATGGCTAAACTCTTTTCGCCGCAACAATATTTTTAGATTGTTAGATTTCAAAAAACACAGCGAAATGCAGCCCCTTAGGGCGTTAGCTGCTAGGCCATCAAGAAAAAAAAATAAAAATAAACAAGTTCCACCTACCTTTAGGCTCTTCGGTCTGAATTCTGAGTCATTTTTACCGCCGAAGGAACAGCAAGTACAATTTACAGCAGAAAATATTTATTTATTTTACATTTGATTTGTAATGATCATATGAAAACCGCCTACTGCAGACAACCTCACTAATGTTGAACAGCTGAGTGGATACGTTTAAAGTTTCGAAAATGTAAAGCATCCCTATTAGGAATTCAAGAACTGTTTAATTTAGGGTGAATTTAACAGWASTACCACACTCAATTTAGATCCATATTGAAGATTTGATATAAGATCAGTTTACTGTATAAAATCTCACTGGTTAACGTATATATATATAAATAATCTTTATTTCCTACAGAAAAAGGCTATCGACCCAATCGGTTAACGTATAATATCTGACTAAATAAAATATGCAGAAATAAAATTTGCACAGTTGAAAAATTCCAACCCAGAATCCAGAAACGCCCTCGTCGTTCCTCGTCGAATAAATATTACATGCATCAATCTCATAAATTAAAAAAAGGTTCATATTAAAGTAAAAACGTTCTACATGGCAACCAKGGGCAAAGTTGCCGAGAKCAAACTTACCGAGAACTGCATCGTGCCATCTGAAAAAAAATAAAAACRTTCTTAACAAAAATATGCATATAGCAGAACCTAAATCCTAAGTCCAAAGTCCAACTATTTGAAAGCAGCAAAAGAAAGAACAAGATGCTGTAAACCATAAAACTCACTAGTTYTAGAMAAACTAGATATGTAGAGATTCTTCTTACCTGCCTTCTGCAAACTCGCGTTCCATCGCGCATTTTCTGTCCATTAATCCTCAACAAGCACACTTGAACACACCAAACTGGAACACACTGCAATTGAACACACAATCAAGGTCCATACAAAACGGAAAAATTCCTAATACTACAGTTAATAAATGGACATGATCTACTGCAGTTGCTTTAATGGCACCGCACCAAATCATTGTAAATTTCCCGACGAAACACAAAGAACTGCACCTGCTTCGTTTAATGCTTCCAGCAAACTGATTATTTTGAGACCCTTTCAAAAAAAAACCTAGCGATATTGTCGTTTTTACCACATTCCAAACGCACCGAGCTACAGAACCAACATGATGATATAACCATTTGGTTGCTCGTCCTTTGTATGTGCCATGGGTTTATTTTTTCTGTTCGATTTAAGTTTTTTTGATTACTGACAGTGTTGTCCAAAGTTCTGCTTCATACAGAAATATTTCAAATGAAGACTTCATGTTCCAACTTGTGTGGATTAACGCCGTAAACAAGCCAACTTTCGCAGCCAAAGATAAACATCTGATGGTTGCTCGCATTAGACTTTTCCTGCTAAATTAAATGCTCGCTCTTGGATCAACCCTTTGCACAATTTCGATGAAGCTTTTATGCCTTTTAGCTTGATGTTTTGTTTAGAGGTTGCTAACATGGCAGGKCTACATTCAAACCATGCCATGATTTGTAAATGCATTTATGCTTGCACCAAGAGCGACGGAAGTAACTTAAATTTTACATGAGTTCTCGGATTAGTTTTTTGTCCCATTTATATGAAAATTCGAGTTTTTGCGGCAAAACTTGAAACTTTGGACATTTACAATGTTTGCCTTATGTTTTATCGGATATATTCTGAACCTGATCACAGCCCTGTATAATATATCATATTGTATTTAGTGGAAAATAAGGCTTATAGGGAAAAATAATTGGCTTTCAAGAAAAACCTCTTGTAGAAGTACTGGCAATTCTAAATTTAGCTAAGTATTTGTTTTCTATAGTCTTTGGTTATTTTGGTTTAAACTTTGTTTGGTTATTTTTTGGCGATATTTTGTGTTGCTTTCGAGTTATTTTTCTGTTAGTTACATTAACAAAGTAAATGAATCAGTTTATTTGAAACTAGTTTTTAAACTCAGAAAAGTCGGCAAATTATTATTTCACAATAACTGTTCAACCTGAACTCCTATGGCTTCAATAAATTTATTAACTTTTTTAATAAATTATTTCTGCATCATTTAAAAAGCATTTATTTTTGCATGCACACAAACAATTTCGCGATGTTTTTTCAATAAATTCAATGTAATAATAGAATGTAAAATATTTCTTTTTGCGCTTAACTGACTGTAAAACAAATTCTGTCCATGACCTATTTTAAAAGTGTAAGTTTACGAAAATATTAAGGAAAAATTCTTTATATTTCATTGTTCAATATCTCGAAAACGGTGAAATATATCGAATTGCACTATGTATACATTTTTTGTCGGAAATCAGGTTCAGAATCTATTAAAAAAAAAACCGAAATACCCCGTACCTCGGAAACTATTAACTTTCGGATAAGATAAGGTTGATTAAAACCCGAAATGTTTGCATAAGCAATGTCAGTGAACTTTGTCACCCTGTAGGCTCATTATACGAAATTTGCTAATTATTTGATCGATTTTATATTATAATTAGAGTTGTTGTTTGCACATCTCTGGTTAAATTAGCTGTGCAATTGATAGATGATTATGAAGCGAAGCACCTGTTCTATAGTCCAACCATAGCTTCAATTTATCGCTTCTTACGCACGACTCGAAATACAAGTGCTTTAAAGACCGATTTCCAATTATTAATTTGTATGTGGATTAATATTCAGGAATACTATCCGAAACATGTAGCACATTCCGTCCCATGTATTACAATATTTTGATTCCATCTAAAGGAATTTTCCATAAAGGTTTAACATATTATATCTGCACTTACTACTAGCTATATTTTAATACTCCCGAAGAAATTTTAAACGGTTCCTTCTGCTTTAAATAAATATTATAGAGCCTAGCAGAAACTGCTCTGATATAAAAAAATTATCTGTTATTTTAGGTTTTTGCAGCATGTGTAGCACATTCCCTTGTAATCCATGCTGGCATAAATATGGCATTCAGTGCTGTTTTTCTACCACAGCTCCAAGAAAGTGACAGCACAATTAATATTAACCTTGATCAAGCATCCTGGATAGGTAACTAATAACCCACGTTCAATATTTGAAATTATAAATTTATTATTCCAAACTAGAAGGAAGTTTCCCATTATATTCTGCTCGCTGAACAAACAGCAAATGCCGAAATGTTTCAAATTTATTTTGCATATTATATGACGCGATTTCAATGTGTTCATGTACCTTTTGATTCCCTATACAATTAAACATAAAACGTTGAAATATGACCCCAAGAGAATGTTACATATTCATATACTATAGCCAGTTATTAATACAATATTAATTAATCAAATATGAAACAACCAACTCGGTTGCGTCCAGATTACATTATACTCAATATTAATGTTTTTTATTTCGGGCATAATTCAAATAAAATTAAAATGACCTGATATTCTTTTATTTTAGCAAGTCTGGTGACCGCATCTTTGCCTCTGGGAGCGTTAACTATAGGCGCATTAATGGACAGATTTGGTCGAAAAAAAATGTGCATGCTAACAGCATTGCCTTTTGCTATTTCCTGGATGTTGCTCAATTTTGCTACTAACGTTTGGTATATTTACGCTGCAAGAATTATTGCTGGATTTGGAGGTGGTAGGTATATCAACCTCTATTATAATACAGTTAAATCAGTTGCTTTAATTTTATTGTTTTAATTTTACAAACAACTGACAAATTCTCTGTAATTAATCAAAATAAATGTAAATTGATGATAAAGCTAGTAGGCAACATTGGACTTGATGGAATATTGCCATCTTTTTGTTAAAAATTTCAGGCCTCAGCACAGTAGCTCTAGTTTACGTGAGTGAAATTTCCCACCCTAAATACAGGCCGATGCTCCTTACTTTTAACAGTGTATTTGTAACTTCAGGAATTCTTATCACATGTATTTTTGGTAAGTACTTAGTAAGTTTCACCGAAAAATCTGTTGAACACATAAAACTAAATTTATTGAGCCTCCATCTCTAACTTAATCATCTATTATTGCAGGGTTTGGACTTCATTGGACAATCATGGTCAAAATATTCTTTCTCTTTATAACTCTGTCGTTGGTGGGACTAATGTTTATACCAGAAAGCCCCTATTGGTTATTAGTGTTCAAAAATGACAAAATAGAATGCTCTAAATCTATGCAATGGCTCTACAAAGATAAAATGGTACGAAAATGCTATACATTAGCCCGTTCATGTTCGCACATAATTCATTTTAGATCTTTGAAGAACAATATCATCGGATTATCGCATCGACTGACACTAAACCCGATGAAGGCTGCAAGAAATCTAAGCTAACGCAATTAAAAGAAGTTCTGAAATTTTACAGAAAGCCAATTGTATGGAAGCCCATGCTTATCTTGTTGCTGCTCTTTGCATTTCAGCAAGTTTCGTCCGCCTATGTCATCATATTTTATGCTGTGGACATTTTCAGGAGAATCGGGGGCAGCTTCAGACATATTGGTCTCATTGATGAGTTTGTAGCTTTGATTTTACTTGGCAGCATTCGTTTCGTTATGGCAATAGTTCTTGCTTTAATTTCTAAGAAAGTTGGTCGCAGATACTTGATGTTTGTTTCTGCGATTGGAATGATTTTTTCTAGCTTTTCGCTGGGGTTGTACATGTACTTTACTCGAACATCATCAGAAAATCGTAATGAGATTGGTGAGAGAAGTTTGCTTTCAAATAGCACACAAAATCTAGATTTAGACGTTGAACCAGACGGAACCATAGCAGTAATTTTGGTGCTTTGTTACATTTGCTTCAGTTCGTTTGGATGGCTGGTTATTCCATGGACTTTGATTGGAGAATTACTGCCTGTTAAGGTCAGAGGCATACTAGGAGGCGTAATGGTGTCAGTAGCTTACATACTAATGTTTTTAATTGTGAAGAGTGCTCCATTCTTAATGGACAGCGTGAACTTGGAGTATATTTTTATCGGTTTAGGTGTAGTTAATGTGTGTGGTTTGTTGTTCGTTTATATGTTTTTACCTGAAACTTTAGGGAAAACATTTTCTGATATCGAGAAGTATTTTGACGGAAGCAAAGACTGATTTTATGGCAATTGATGTGACAACTTTTTATTAAAAATGTACACGTTTTTTCTGTATTTTTATAGCATTTTGTGTTTATGTAAACTTTCATAGCTGCTGTGGCCATATGGGAACAACAAAAGCTTGTATGTATTGTTATGAAACTTTCAATAAAACACATTTTTGTGGAAAAGTTTCAATTTATTTCTTGTTCTACATACCCCAGTCATCCCCTAACAGATTAATTCATTTCCCATTTTTTACGGTTTCCTTTCTTTGAATTCTTGGAAATTAATTTTTCATTTGTAAAATCACAAGCTTTATTACTTTGCAGTAACTTTTCTTTTAACTTCAGTTTCGTCCGTTAATTTAAGAAACCTTTCCTGTTTGCATCAAATATTTAGTTTGGTGTTTTAGCACATATGTATGTATAATTAATACATATTGATTTATGAATCAAACAATGAATTAAAATCGGTTGATGTGTTTCAACGCGTTTACCAACTGTTGTGGAAGTGCAAACTATTCGATAATTAGGATTCACTTTGCTCTATTGATTTCGGGAATCAAATTATATGAGATTATTCCTGGTTCCAAGTTGAGCTTACGGCCCAGTTAATTAACGAACTTATTGATGGGGCTTAAGAATGACCGAAAGCCCGATGTGCTTAATACTATAATAATCTCTATATTCGGGGTTTTTATTGAAGAATGTTTTTCAACACAGTTTACACCGAAACAATAATTACATATTTAATTGCCTAAACTGTGGAAGTTATTACAAGTCTGAAAACCAAACTAATCATTTGCGTTCGTTGTTAGTGGAATGCAGGGAGACATCTGGAATTGATAAATTTATGTCCCTAATTTGCAAGTTTGTGGAAAACGCTCTCAGTTCTAGAAATTACACCAGGTGTGCACGTGTGAGGTGCTAACTTGAGGAATTATTTGTCGAATTAAAGGGATCATCTTCAAGATTCTACTGTAATTCTGTGCGACGTGTACCTAAGACATATTTATCGAATTTAATCAGATGAAATATTCTATAACTTGTAATTATTTGTTATAACTAAGTATTTGATTAGCTATAAGTTTATATAAATTAATTAAAGCATATATCAGGATGATTTTTAATGTTAGCAGATACTGAAAAAACATTGGTAATTGTCTTCAAAAGTAAAATATTTGTAGACAACTGCATGAAATAGAGCGCAAAAAGTGCTTTTATCGGCCATAAATGTTATCTCCGTTATTGGACATTCTATAAATTTTATCTGTATTGTTTTCAGCAACGGTCGATTATGGCCATTGAAGATGTTATCGACGTGACTTTTTATGCTCTCCATTTCGAATTGTCACTTTATGGCAATTGCCTCCACACAATAAAGGAAAATATCATTTTTATTTAAATATCGGCTGCAGGGTTTTTGCAGGTTTTTCGATTTTCAGCCTAGATTATGTTATATTTAGGAACGTTTACATTAGTGAATTTAGAGATCAAAGAGAAATATAACTATTTTTTAGAAGTAGTTCAATAAATTATTATAGAATACATATTATACAAATACATAATTAATTCTGGAAGTGCATTTATCAGCTTTTATGTTATATTATCGTCGGTTTTAAAGATAAATGTATTTAACCAAAATCTACTGCTTAAGCTTAATAGATAGTTTATTCGGAATTTGAGTGGTTTAGCCATCGGTTGAACGTCGAAACCTTCGGTAAAAAACAATAGTAAAACAATAGTAAAAAAGTCCCAATGAAACATTTAACTTAAGTATGGCTTTTCACTTGACTTGATTTCAAGTTTAAATTAATATGAAACACTTTCTGTTTCTTATTCCTGGCTTAACTGTTTTACCAGGAAGCTCATTTAAGTATGCTTTTAGATATTTACAAAAAAAAATTACCACTCTGCAGTTTTAATTCACCAAAAGAAGAAGTTTTAATCCACACTTTCAAGCATCAAACAAATTAAGTTAACTTGTCAGTTCCAATATTTTAATTCATTTCTCCTAAGAATCAGCGTTGGAATCGTGGAATTTTTATAACAGATCATCAATTAACTATACAAGTATGTTCACTTATTTTTACCTCATTTTGTCTAATTTTAATTTAAGTTCATGCACATTCACACACACAAAACCGAACAAACTTTCGAAAATTCCTTATAGCCTTACAGCGCTTTTTTAAACAGTGTTTAAATGTAAATTTTGAAATGTATTCAATCACCCTTGACCCTACTTACGGCCTCTTCAAATAATTGATCTAAAACCCTTAAACCCTGTACCCGAGTGCTTAATCGTGATATTTCTTGTCGGGTTGAAGTCAACTTAATGGTCAGATCCAGATGGTCCCAAACGCAAACAGGAATGTTATCTCAGGACAGTTAATGCAGTGGAAAATTGAATTCTTTCAGGATTTAAACAAAAGAGCCCCGATCAATTTTGAGGGACATTTGCAACAATTGATGAGGGATTACCACCGCTTATAGCCAGATGTATGGGATTTTTATTAAGGATAATGTTTAGACTAGGCTTAGTAAATTGTTTTAAATGGAAAAATTCTTCATCAATCATTGTCTGAGAAGTTTACTTAATCAACCAGTGATGTTGCACTTAACTAGCGATGTAGTATAGGAAAACATTTTTTGTATAGGTATACTTCCTCTATCTTGAAAGTTAACGAAATTATGCTTTAATTTTGCAACCTTTTCAATCTGCTTTTCCTAATTTGAAAGAGCACTCACTGTATAATGAATCAAGGTAAAATACAAACAGAAAATAAACCATAAAACCTGACTGTCACTTCAAAGCTTAAATCGCTTACTTCTTTGAAAAATATTTATAAAAGTTCAATTTTAATACATTTTTTCGACTCACTAGAATACATAATTTAGTGATATGATATAACTAACTCACCCAAAGTAGATCATTTGGTTGATTTATTCTGAATTCTACCTGAAAAAACTTCGTTTTGTCTATTCTTGGAGCAAAATATGATGCGGTCAGTTTCCTCATTATCCAGTTCAATTAATTATTTTATCATTTAGTAAAGTGCAACTGACTAATAATTTCAATTTTTTTATGCTTACAGCTTTATTGTTATCCTTATACATATTTTAAAAAACCTGAACTTCGGTCATTTATATTACAATATTGGCAAAATTGGCAGCCATAGAGCAACCAATACGTTTCGGTATTTTCAAGAAACAAACCAACGCTAGCAAGGGAAAACACCAAAAGAGTTTGTTTCCTAATCCTTCCCCTTATTCCAAACTTTATACAGATTGACTGATGATTGTAGAAAATACTGAAACGTATTGTTGTTTCTTAAATATTGTAATATAAATGACTGAAACCCAAGAATTGTGCAAATGAATTTTGTAGATGCAGTGAAGATAATTTTCATCATTACATTTATTGTTTGTTGTCTGAATACATACAATCGCCTGATTCCGCCTGAAATTCGGGTACATTAAATAGATTATTTTTATTTAGAAATAATCTTCAATTATTTCATACTTACGGTTCAGCGGAAAAGCTTCCCTGAGAACTGGAGGCCTTTTGCTACATATGCTAATATATTAGTTAAAGCTCCTGCTAACCTTTATTTAGCTCATGAAATGCGGGTCTTTGTAATATTATGCAGACAAGTTTTCTATATAAAATTTTACACATAAAAAAGTTACTGTAGATTATTCACGGTATCCCGAAAACTCTGTTGAAAGACTACAAAGCTGCGCTGTGGTTTCCAGAAACGCGACTAATTTAGCTATATGGAAAATAGTTAAAAGATTTTCCGGGGCGGTTGACAAACGACGCAATACAGAAATAAATTAACTTGGAAATGTGAACCTTAAGTATCACTTAAGGAGCAAATTCCTTACGTTGTAGTGATATTTTAAAGTCGTAGAGTGCTCATTTGACAAACAACTGCACTTTCGCAGACTTAAAAGGGTAAATGAAAACGATAAATAACCTCGTGAAAGCAGGACTTCTGTGCTAGTTCTATTTTAGGCTAAATTAGGTTTAGGTTGTGTTGTGTAGGTGAAATAAGGTATTTCGTTCGTAAATTGTCGCACCCGCTACCCTACATTGCAATATAATAGTTAAGGAGTTTATATGGAAGTTGTTAAGCGGGCGTTAACTCAAATAAGATTTGAAAAATAATTAACTGTTTCTTGCAAGCTGAAGCTATGCAAAGATGGAGCTAGAAGACTACCAGCATTAAAAAACATACAAGTGAAAAGAAATGAAGAATATTCTGGGTAGCGCCTAACTAAAAATGCAGAAATTTTCTTTCTTGGGGAATCGGTCTAGGCGGTCGTACAAAAAAGAAAATCTTTTTTAGCTACCAATTATTCGGCGATTTATTGGCGTCAGGGCTGAAAGAGTTACTACAATTTCATCAAACATGAGCTCTGAAGTAAATGAGGTCCAAAACTTAAGGGATATATACAGGGTAACATCTTTCAATCGTTCATATATCGGTCAAAAAATAAACACTATAAAAATGGAGGAATTGGGTCGATTTTGAGATGCGTATAAATGCGGAATAAATTGAGAGTCAATTTTTTTTAACTCATAGTTTAGTTTTAAATCTTCTTAATGCTCTAATGCATACATTAGCAGATTGTTGATTGCAGCAAATAATGTAAAAAAATAGTTTAGGGAAACTTAATATGGCAGCTGGTAGAGATCCTAAGTCACCCTAAGGCTCATATTGCTAAGAAAGCTCAAATAGAGCGGAGATCAAACAGCTTCCTGCAAATCGAAAAATTTGACTGGCTTATATGAATTATTCACGTTAAGGAAAGCTGATAGTGAATATCTTAAGAATATGAAATCTTAATTTGAGAGTAAGAAAACTTGCCTCGTAGTAGTACCACTCATTGAAAATGAAAGAACAAAATACATTAAACTAATATCTAAAATTTGAAAAACTCTTTATATAAAATACGCAAAAGTCGCTGCATAAAATAAAAAAACCCGGTTAATAAAGCATTGAAGAACTGCTGTACAAAGTATACCACGAAATAGGCATACACCCGTTAATCACGCTATACAAAAAAAACTCTATTTATAATGCACATAATCATCAAATTCTCAAATCATTTCAACAAGCGTTGCTTTGTCAATTAATAGGTAATTCCAAAACTAAAATTCACATTTTTTTGGAAATTTATTG